ACCCAATTGAACCTAATAAATAATGTGATAAATCAGAATAATAGAGATATTACAATTAAAAAATTAAGTATTATCCCTACCGCCATTACTTTTGGAGGATACTGTATAATTACAGGTTTTTCAACCTGTTGACATTCAGGATCATTAACTGTAGCGTAATTTCTTGTTGCATTGATAGTTGTAGTCGAAACCTAAATTAATGTCAATAAGTTTATAAACATATTTTATTGAAAGCATATATAACAAAAAAGTTCGTACTCACTCCAAGTTTGTTTCGTAATTCTTGATAGGAAAACTGATATGCAATAATATATAAAATTTGTTGTATTCCTTTAGAACCTTTTTTGTTTTGTGCTAAAACAATCCCAAATTATTTGTGACAGATTTTGGATGCTTGATGGATACGGATTCAAAAACCTAATTTAAAAAGATTCTTCAAAGTTTTTTTATCATCTGCAGGATTTGAAGACTGTGTCCAAAATTTATACTACATATTATTTATATAAATTGCTAGTTTTTTACTTTTTTTAGTTTGAAAGAGACTTATGATTAAAATGTGTTACATCTGTACACCCAGTTGTTTTGGACTAGAACTCCAATCACGATCATTAAATTGATGGTAGGATGGATACAATTTAGCTAATGATGCATTTCAATAATATTATTAATATTAATTTCACAAGCTACCTACTATGTAAATATATATTAACAATCAATACTTGCGATAGTTCGTCTTTTGAGATGATATTCATACAACATATTTATTGTATCTTTTTCATTCCATTGTGAAGGTTTACAAGAAAGAACTTGTAATTGCCGCAACATTATTTGTGATGTTTGATTTTCTAATCCAAATAATTGTGTTCCTTTATATTTTGCCAATGTTCCAGTTTTTTGCCAAACTTTCAATGGCGTACCATCCTCATATTGCGAAATCTTTTGGTTTTCATACCACACTTCTATTATTGCCTTAGTATCACAAAATCTCTGTACAAATACACAACGTTTTTACCAAACATATGTATAAAAGCTGGGACCCGCTCCCATCCAACCTTCTTCTATGAAAATATCCTAACCATATACTATTATTGAATATTTGTCTACTGAAATTGGATATGGCCTAAATTCTATTTCTAAAAGTAAATCCTTGAGTATTGCGTCATTATTATAACCTAAAGCAAATGAACCGGAAATTTTTGTTGAATTTTGAAAAATTTTTCGATATAATGAAGAAATTGTTTTGTTGAAGATTCCTCTCTGTCACTAGAAAATATTTCACATTGGCAAGGATGATTCGCGTAAATTTTATTTCCCTCTAAAATGCGCAAGATAAATAAATATCTTGCCATTTAATTCTACTTGAGTTTTCATTCCAACACGTATTGGATACATCATTTGAGTCTCTATGCTACCTTTTACTATTT